ATAATATAATAATATAATAATATTAATCATAATGATTCTTCTTCTTCTTCGAATATTAATGGTCCTGGTCTTAAAAATGATACGATGCATGAGGCGAGACGAAACAGAAACAGAAACTATGAAGTTTTTAGAGCTACAATCAGCTACAACTTACAGCGCCACTAGAATGAGATAGCATGATTTTTTCTCTCTCGTACAATTTCGACGAATAATGGCGGACTTCACGTGTCCAGACTCTTATTAGAGGGTCACTAGCGAGACCGAGTGGAGTCTCCTTATATCTTCCTTCATGTGTTTTACTTCAACTTATTGCACTCTGTGTACCAGCACAGTATATACAGTAGCGCAACTCTCTGTCGGCACCTTTGATGTTAGTGTTGCCTAAAATGGAGTGCGCATGCGCGAAATAGGCGAAGTACTAGACTGTGCTTTTTCTCTTTTCATCCTTCTTTCGCTCTGTCAAAACGCACTAGCACAGTATATGTAGTAACGATGCGCATGCGCGAAATAAATAGGTTGCCCTATCTCATTTTCTCCTTCTTTATTGCTCTCTCTTTATTCAATGTTCCCTTTAAACAATTCATTAATAAAAAATTTCCCTTTTTTAATATTTTAACATACAATATTTTTGTATTATTGTATAAGTATATATATAATATATAGTATGTCTTGGCATAATTATTATCAAAATTATTTCAGTATATGATATTATTTATTAATTTAAATTATCTTCTAAATATATTACATTTTTTATTTGTTGTATTTTATATTTATTTTTTTGCACACACATTATATATATAATATATAATATATATTATAAATTTTTTTTTATATCAACTTTCTGATAATATGTATATACATAGCATATATTTACAAATTTACAATTATATAATATTTTTCTACATAAATATATATTTTTCAGATAATTTAATATTTTTCTTAATTATTTTACATTTATTCGTGTCTCATTCTCCAACATGCTCCTACAATAGTTCTTACTCACTTCAATGCATTCATTGGAGTGTGACGCAAATAAATCTAGGTTAATCTAGTGCGTTTTGACAGAGCGAAAGAAGGATGAAAAGAGAAAGAGCACAGTCTAGTACTTCGCCTATTTCGCGCATGCGCACTCCATTTTAGGCAACATAAAATCGGGAGAGTTGCGCTACTGTATATACTGTGGTACCAGTTCGGTAAAAAGAACAGACCATGGTATCGCCGACCTAACCTTATTGACGTTATTTCGCGATTCTGATTAGAGGGTCTCTAATAAAAAGAAGTCATTCGAATGATTACAGATCATTAATTCATTACGAGAATGTCTATGAATGATAATCGACTATACACAATAAATGACATATGTAACAGAATGTCTAAGGAATTTGTGACCGTCGATGGCAATGTGAGGAAGATTCAGAAGGAGACTTTAACTCCTTACAAAGTAGCAACTGTCATTCTAATTAAAGAATATTGTAACGATACCACAAAAAGTACATTTCTATCATGCAATATTTTATTAACTGTAAATTTGAAAAAAAAAAAAAAAACAACTCTTTGTACTCCTTTATACAAACAAGCTTAATATTTTTAATATTTTCTAGCGATCATGGAAAGACGTAACTTTTGTTTAGCATCGTTAAAGTTAATTCAGGTAAAAAGAGAGAGAGAGAGCGAGAGAGAGAGAGCGCAGCATTTTGGGTTGTATGACATATTTAACACGATTATTTTTTAGTCAGCAGACATGGAATTTGATGCTCTACTGAATATGTTGTACGAGCCAGAATATACCTTAAATCGGTTTGCTGTTCGACTGGAAATAAATTTGGAAGCTATACATGAGAAAGGAATCGATCAACTGTTAGATTTATTTGATAATCTTCGCCGATTAATGGAATCCAAGGATCATGCGTTATCTTTACCAGCATTAAGCAGAAATTCCGTTCTTGGGTTATACGTTCGTAGAATGCTGATTTTCTTTGAAAAATTGGCCTTTGATCAAGTGGTTGCTCTCTACAATGATATGGAGAAATATGTTGTAAAGAAAATTGATAGCCTAGAGAACTCTGACATTGCAATCTCTAAGCAAGAGGATTTTTTTGGTCCGGATAAGTAAGCTTCAATAGAACATTATATGTAATGTAATGTTTTACATTATATAGAATATTTTGTTAATGTCGATGCTTTTTGCAGTAAAGCAAAAACAATTTGGGGTGGAAGACAAGCGGAATTACTCGTGGCACAACAAGCGCACGCTTTACAAACCGACGAGCATAAAGCACTGCCACCAGTGAAGCTGCAAGCTCTTGTACAAGATCTTCTAAAGTCTAATCCTTACAACGCAGATGCAGTGAGTATGCGCAATAGAATATATGTAAATTAATATAAATATAAAAAGAAGAAACAAACATTTCCTCTTTTTTTTTGCAGCTGAATAGATTTGTCTTTGTTCTAGCATTATCTTAGTTATTTAAACTGCATCCGCGTGAACGACTTTTGTGGAGCGGTAGACAGTCTCTATCACTGTTTTGATAGACTGGCACCTCTGGAGAACCAATCCACACCCGAGGATCGATCTCGTACCTTCCGTTACGCGGCACTCAACTTGGCCGTTTTACACGCCCAGTTCAATCACAAGTAATCTATTTTGTCTACTTGTCTCAATCTAATTGACAAATTTGAAATTCGGCCTGCAGTTTATTTATATGTACATAGCGTTACAAATTTTTTCCCAACAAAGTAATTATCGTGGCTTTCTTTGGAAGGGAAGTAGCACTGTATGCTTTGAAAGAAGCTATTAAATTAGCTCAGGAAACTGGAGACAACGTGTGTTTGCAGCTTGCGCATTCTTGGATGTCCTACTTAATCAGTAAAGAGAACAAGTAAGTCATAAGAGATTTTTCATCTTTCCATTATACAAATATGTTAAAATATGTATAAACTTTTTGGCATATGTGTATAATCTAAAATTAAGTTCTTAAATCGATATATGTATTATGTATATGTAGAAAGATGTCGATCGGGACATCTTATGATATAGATATGCTTTTATTTAATTGATTTTTTGCGTTTATTCTTTTCTACTTTTATCAGAGGATCTCTGATAGAACGCTCGATTGGCAAAGCAAGTCTACTCGGAATTACACATACCACAGGCTTAAGTCTTATTTCACACGCGCATAGTTATGCCTTAGAAGCCAAGAATCCTCCTCTAGTATTCGAGGTAGTGAAGAATAATTAAAATATCGATCTGATGTACTTGTATATGCACGAATTTATATTTAAAATTATAATTTATGTTGTATATAGATACTGATGAAATCGGACATGTTAAACTGTCAACATTCAATGTCCGACTTGATGTCTATCAATTTCGCAGAGAAATCGGCATTGTGGGCGTACTATGGGAAAATGGAGATGGCTTCCCTTTGTGGCCAGCTACTACTTCTTCACAATACGGGTGATAAGAAGCAGCACATGTTTAACGGACCGTCCACGTGCCAAGCGATCGTCACTGTCGCCAATATGTTGATCGAGTTCGGTGAATACGTTCTCGCTGACGTTGTACTAGCACATGCTAAGGAAAGATTTCCCAATAGTCCTTGTAACAAGGTGTGCTCTCTTTTACAAATGCAATACGAAACTTTATTCAAATAAAATCTTTTCAAAGAGTATTGGAAAGGGAAAAATTCTTCTTGTTTTCTCTATTCGTCATTCAGTTTATTGCATCGTAGATCTGGATGTTGAGCGAACAATTGCACATATTGACGCAACTGCTGCGACAAGAAAAATGGGGCGAGGCAGAAGCAGTAGCCAGGAATATCTCCAGCTTAGATCAGCTGGAATCCAAACTTAAGTACAATGAATTTTTATTTTATGAGCGTGCGCCAAAGAAATAAATGAAATTTTTGAAAATGTGTATTTCAATCTAATGAAATTTCCAGATTGGCAGAAGTTTGCCTGGCGAAAGGCGATTATCCGAAAGGATTAGAGTACATTGGCGCTATCAAGAAGCATCCGCACATGACTCCGCCATACGTGATACGTGCCTTGCTTCTTTCTAGTCAGATAACATGTGCCTCCTCCTTGTCAGACAACGGGACAGCAGTTGCTACTAATTGCATAATGCGTCTTTGTTCAGCATTGAAATTGGCCGAGCAGAATCATTTGTCATACTACAAGGCACTTGTCAAGATGCATCTTGCCAATATACAAGTAAGTTCTATGAAATTTATGAGAAAATTGTACAATTCAATCGACTATCGGCAACAATACATCTCCAATTGTTAATCCAGTTGTTAATGGGTCTACCTGTGTTGGCTTTGAACTTGGTGGAAGAAGCTATCCCTACAGTCTTAGGTCACGGTGGCTGTTACGATCAGGGCAAGGGATTTATGTTGTATAGCAAGTGTCTGATAGCTTCAGCGCCAGAGAATCCTTTCGAAGCCCGGAAAAACATGATTCTCAGTGGAATAAAAACCCTGTCGAAAGCACAGGAGCTCTTCACGAAAGTTAATGCCATTGCCAAAGTTAAGAGCACTTTGCATCTGCAAGCAGTTTTTTACAATGAGATTGACCTCCTGCCTGAAAGAAATCAATGCGCTTTCGAATTTCGCCAAATGGATGAACAATATCCAACGACTCCTACCAATCTAATTTTGTATTAAAATTCGTGAAAGTATAATTTTGTACAATGTTGTGTATATAAGTAGAAAAGAAGACATTTTTGTATAAATTAAATTTAGCTTAATTTGCTTGGAAAATATGTCTCCCATATACATCAATCTTTTAACATTTAATGCAAGAAAACAGGATCTGATAAATTGTAATACCTTTCATATATTTATTAAATTAGTAATTTAAATTATCTTAAATGTTAAAAATTCAATTGAATGTATTCAGTCAGTGTACATAAAAATTGTTGTACATAAAAATTGTTGTACATACAGAGTAACATAAAGACCTATAGATAGAGAGGTGTGTTTAAATATATTATATTATAAATATAGAAACAAATACACTTTAATACACTTTATCAAATTTTATTTAGACCGTAGAGTTCCAAACTAAATACCAATGAGAATAAGCTATTTATGGTCAAGCTGGATCTTGGATGTTTCTAATATAATTTTCGTGTGAATTTATATACTACGTATGCAGATCCCTAAATGCGCGCCAAAATTATTAATACACTTTATTATGTTATTATGTAGTACATTACAAATGCATATTTTATATAATATTAAGTAAAAATAGTCACTAAGATTAAAGTACATATTAGTGAAAAACACCATTTTCGATCAAAGTGCAATTCTTTGTGTCTAATCTTCTAATAACATATATTTCTTATAAATTCATACAATTTCAAGATCGTGCACTAATTATACATTACATTTATCATGAAACTGTTTTTTCATTTATCTTGAAACAGTCCTAAACCGAATTGAGCTGCAGACTAGTAATATTCAAACACACAAATTGACAAACAATTTAATATTGTTGCTCGTCAATTTATTGCAAATAAGCATCTTAGGGAGCTGTCAGCCTCAGTAAACTTGGTAAATGTTCGGCACGCAATTTGTTTGAAATGAAAACTATAAATTCACAAAAAATATTAGGCACGTCAAATATAGCGTTTTACATAATTCAAAATATTTTTATTATAGGTACATTTTAACTTTGTTTAAATCAGTAATAATATGTGCGCTACTAACGTCCAATCAAATTAGCTATTAACCTTATTAATTCTACAAACTCTAATTAATTAAATAAACAATATGATGATGACATCATATTGTTTACTTTTATATAACGAGTCCTTATTTCTTTTCTATTAATTTCTAATTAATTAATTTCGCTATTCAATCAATTAATTTGTAGACTTAATAAGGTTAATAGCGAATCAAATTTGTAGACAAGGTTTCGCGGACGCAACACATACATTGCACACAGTGTTTTCCGTTATCTAGATAAAATTATTTAGATAATCATCTAGATGTAGAAACGGCTTTATCTTATCTTTATCTAGATTATTAAGAATATAGACTATCTTCATCTTATCTTAGATTAAAAAAGTCTTATCTTTTTCAATTTATCTAAGATTGTAGAAGAGTATTGTAAGAAATTTCTATGTAAACAATCAACGTCTAGTAGTAATGATTAGTGAGGATTTTTTTCGCGACAATAGATAAAAAAAAATAGGATTAATTCGACACCAGTCATTCGAAGCAACATTGAAGTACTTTCATATTTAAAAAGTAAATCAAAAGAAATAGATATTTTGAATTTATGTCCACATATTAAACAAATTTTTTTTTAAATACAACACGTCATTGCCATCATTAGCGCCAGTAGAACGTTTTTTTAGTTGCGGACAACAAATATTAATTACGTAGAAACCATTTATCAGATGATATATTCGAAAAACTTTTATTTTTAAAAAATAAAGATTTATAAAATACGATATGTATATAAAATATTTATAAAATATTTATAAAAATATGAATATATTTTTGTATCCTAAATCATTTTACTACCTATAATAACTACTTAAAAACAAAATTATCTTAAAAATGATCTAGATAAAAATTTTTATAATTTTATCTTTTATCTAGAGATTAATGTAAAATTAATTATCTTTATCTTATCTAAAATACATTTTTGTATCATTTATCTTATCTAGATAAATTACTATCATTTTTAATTATCTAAGCGCAACACTGATTGCACACGTGTTCCCACAAAAAAATGCACTGGGTCGCGTTCCGAAATTCGACTGTCAACTCCGAGCTTTTTTCAACATTCGGCGAACAACAAGGATGAAAGATACTCGGAGTTGACAGGACAGACAGAGTTGAGTTTTGGAACGCACCCTTAGAAAGTGGATATACTGGAATTGCTAGAATCAACTCGATCAACGCGGTGCGGAGTATGAACGAGTACGAGTCGACTGTAGGCAACTGTAGATCCCATGGATTCCATAGAAACTGATAGAAACGCGCCGAACATGTGACGTATTATGACGATCGTGACACGAGGAATGGCACTAATTAGGCACTAATGGCACGGGGGCGGGACGGAACAGCTGATCTTCGCCGCGTTCCACGACATCGTCCTTCCTCAATCGACGACAGCTAATTCGTCAATTGCCATCGGCGTCGAGACGGTGGTCGCCGATTGGATTGGACGAGCACGCGACGGAGACAAACAGACAGCTGGCGCGCATCCGTGACTGACTTCACTTGACTACCGAATCGAACCGAATCCTCTCCGAGGCCGCGAGTTGTGCTAGGCGGCCACGTGAATCTGCGTGAATTAACCCCTTCCCCCCTCCCCCGCCGACTACTCCCCGTCACCCGCTGGGACATTTTTAGACGGCTTGGACTGGCTTGGACGGCCGAGAGCTCGGTCTCACCTGTCTCGTGTGGTCTACTCTGGTTCGGGTCCGGACGGATTATCGGGATTATGGCCAGCCCGGTGGTCGGCACCGGATATAATTTCAAAGTGGTTTTGCTCGGCGAGGGATGCGTCGGCAAGACCTCGGTCGCCCTTCGCTACGTCGAGGACAAGTTCAATGACAAGCACATCACCACGCTACAGGTGAGTCCTCCTTTCATACTACAGTATCTATTACCCGTTTACATCATTAATTTTAAAGCGGCGAAGATATTGTCTGTCCATCTTCTTCTTTTTCTTCATCCCGATGGACCTGCCTTAACTATCTTTGTTTGCTGCGTAGAACTTCGTTTTCCAGGCTTTTTTTAATAAGACTCGAATTTGTACTTTTAAAAAGGAGCTCTTTTGAAATTATTTTGCGGCGTATTTATCGGTAGAATATATTTTTTATTTGAGCTGTGTAAATTGCGTAGAGAACAAGTTGTGATATAGAGATACTAATAAATATTAAAATTTGTGACATGTATAAATGTGGGATTAGGAGAGCTTCCTTAACCTCTTCTTACGGAAATACATCTTGATGATTTATTTCATGTTTCAGGCGTCGTTCCTGAATAAGAAACTGAATATCAATGGGAAGAGAGTAAACTTGGCAATATGGGATACTGCCGGACAAGAGAAATTTCACGCATTAGGACCAATTTATTACAGAATGTCCAATGGTGCCATTCTCGTGTATGACATTACGGATGAGGATACCTTTCAAAAGGTACAACTACAAATAACCAGGGGGAATGGAAAGTTACTTTTTAAAAGTAACTAGTTACAGTTACTCGTTACTCGAAAAATAACTTTTTGTTACTTTTTCGTTACTTTTTTAAAATCGATCTAAAAATGTACTTTGCAGTGTATTTTGTTTAAATGTTAATAAAAGCAATATATATATAATATATAGCATGTATAACACAGACACTATGTATAGGAATTTTTTTATACTTTACAGAAAACTAGAAGATTATATAAGATTGTATAGAACTATCTGAATCACAATATAAGTTAGAAATGAAAAAGAAAATTAAGAAATACACATAATCTCTTTATTATAATACAGCTATATTTTTATTTAATCTATACTTTTAGCTGTAAATGAAATATTTTGAGATAGAAAGAAAATTATATCACTATAATTAAAACACAGAAATGTACAGAGTAAAGCTTTGTACACAACTTAATTGGAACAAAATATATACGATTTAAATTAAGGTAAACTAAATGTAGCTTTTACTCTTGTATTAAATAAAAACACTCAATGTTCTACAATCACATTTATAGCTATCGTAATTAATAAGTAATGTAATTGTTATATAACAGAATAACGTACCCAATCAAAATGCAAAGTAACGATAAAAGTAACTGTAAATTTCGTTACCGTTATTCAAAAAATGTAACTCGTTACCAGTAAAGTTACCAAAAAAAGTAACTTGTAACTGTAACTTTGTTATAAGTAACGAGTTACTTCCATTCCCTGCAAATAACATCTATGAAATAAGATATGCAAAGTATTTCCGTTTTGATGTTTGATGAATTCTTTGTGGATGTTATCAGGTAAAGAACTGGGTGAAGGAGCTTAAGAAGATGTTAGGTAGCGAAATTTGTTTAGTGATAGCAGGTAATAAAATGGACCTAGAAAAGGACAGGAATGTTGCTGTAGAAGAAGCCGAAGAGTAAGTTTGACAAATCTTCTCTCTCATATTAATTTATTATCAAGTAAACGTAGTACACGACCACTAACAAACCTTCTTTCCTCAGGTATGCCAAACAGGTAGGAGCTATGCATTTTCATACATCCGCCAAGCTGAACCAGAACATCGAAGAGATGTTTTTGGATTTGACGCAACGCATGATGCAACGTACAGATGAGGCTGAGCAAAGGTCCACGCTCACGAGGACCAATAGTACGCGTCGCAATGTTGTGATGGTCGAGGACAAGGCAGAACAAACTCAATCGAGTAGAAGTTTCTGCTGTGGCGGTGGTGGTAGTAGTAGTAGTGGTGGTAACGGCGGTAGCGGCGATAACGGCAGTTTTTCATAGATCTTTAAAATCAATTTACGTTCGATCGCAGATGCAAGGTCTAATTTCAGTAATCCACAAATTATGTACAAGATGGCGTATCTCAGGTGTGACAAGTTACTGTCGATTGTCATATTACAAATATTTCATCTTGTATGTATACGAGGGGACAAGTGCGTTACATATGTATGAGTGTGCACGTGTATGACTATATATATATATGTATGTATATTTTTAGCTGCAGCCTTTCATTGCCTTTTGTGAACATCGTGGGATAAGCCTCCTTTTCCTAGATTTGCCTCTCAAGTATTTTCGTCGTCTTGACGAGATCTATCTTTTGAAATGATTCCTTATTCACAGCAATCGCGAAGCAACGTATAATGTTGCTTCTTTCTAATAAATCATTCCAAAGGCTACTTTGTTTCATGTGTGTGTGTGTGTGTTTTTCTATTACTTAAATCATGCGTTCATAATGATGAAGCAGTCTGAAATATCAATTTTGCCATCTATTGTAGCTGTTTTGAACTTCTGAATCTC